TCACTGGTGAATTCTATCAAGCATTTGATTTTACACAGATTCTTTCAAATTTCTTAGGTCTGTATGACCTTGATATCAAAACCTCATGAAATAATTTGAGAAAAAGGATTTACATACTATTTTCTCTCATGAACATAGACACAGAAATCCTTGAAATAGTCCATCAAATTCAGCAAAATATGTAAAGGTTACATCAAACTCAGCAAAATATGTAAAGGTTAGTACATCATGACAAATGGGATCTATCCCATCCATGCAAGGTTGATTTAAAAAATTTAAATAATCCACAATAGTAATGGTTTACAGGGGAACAACCATGTGGTCATTTCACTAGATGCAGAAAGAATTTACACATTCAGTACTTAATGATAAAAGCTCTACAAAGTAGCAAAGAAGGGAGTTTTCTAAATTTTATAAAGCTAATCTATGAAAAACCTGGAGCTACATTCTTAATGGTAGATACAGTAGTATAGCTGTACAATGGGATACTAATCAGCAATAAGAAGGAATGAAGCATGGGTACATGCAACAGCATGGATGAATCTCAAATATTCTGTGTAGCCAAAGAAGTTAAAAGTTTATGTGCTGTATGATTATAATTTATTTGAAAAGGGGCTTGGTGACAGTGAAGTTCAGAGATTTCTTGAGGTTTGGGGAAAGGATTGACTGTGACGGTGTACAAGTGTTGGGTGACCATTGTTCTGTATTTTGTATTTTCATGGTGCGACATGTCAAACATTAACTGAAATGTGTATTTAAAATGGGTTGTTTTATTGATTATAAACATTCTCTAAATGCAGTTGAATTTTAAAAATATGTTACAAAACTGTCTTATCCACTTCAGTCTTCTGTGTGACTTAGGACAATATCGAAAATGGTTAAGGTAGATCATGATACTTGTTAGCATTTTATTTCTTAATAACTTATTTTGGCAAACCATCTATAAAATGGTCATTTCAATAGATGTAGAAAGATAGTCTCACATTTGATTGAAGACTTTTGTGGTTTGAGCCATTATATTGAAGTGTTTTAGACTGTGGTTTTGAGGTCATTTAGAGTGCACTTCAAAAATTGACTTTTTTTTAACCTTTTTAAATATATATATATATTTTATTGCATTTTAGGTTTTGGGGTACAAGTGAAGAACGTGCAAGATTGTTGCATAGTTACATACATGGCAATCTGGTTTGCTGCCTTTCTCCCCATCACCTATATCTGGCATTTCTCCCCTTGTTACTTACTACCTGTGGCTCCCTGGAAAAGTCATTAATATCCCTTTGTTCAAGTTTATTTATTTGTAAAATGAGGAGTAATATTGCTTAATGTTACGAAGCCCATGTAGGTTTATGAAAATGAGATAATTCATATGCAGTGCTTAGCCAAGTACCTGGTACAGAATTAGCTCTGAATGAATGGTAACTACTATTTTTTTATCCCTATATTTTTACCATTATACTTCAACAGACAACCTTAGTTCAGTGAACTGATACCACTAATTTTTCGTTACCTCGTACCCTCAATCTTAAATGTTTCTGGATTTTTACTGGATGATTTATTCTAGAACTTTGTTTCTTACTTAGATTATGAGGCTCTTTGAGGATCTGAAAAAGCTGTGCCTGTTTTACCCAGAAAAATGTACTGTAAAAATAACCATATAGTTTTCCATAGGGTTGTTTGTGAACTCATTGAACCTATAAATAAGAACCCTTGTTACTGAGCAAGAATGTAAAAAAGTTCTTAGCCATATGAGCTAACATTACAGGTTATGAACTATTGACCTTTTTAAAATAAACATTTTTTTTTTTTTTTTGGGGAGGAAGGCAGGAAGGGAGGGAAGAAGGACGGTAGGGAGGAAGGAAAGGATGAAGGAAGGAAGGAAGGGAGGACGCGGGGAGGGAGGGAAGAAGGACGGTAGGGAGGAAGGAAGGGATGAAGGAAGGACGGAAGGAAGGGAGGAAGCGGGGAGGGAGGGAGGGAAGGGAAGGAAGGAAATCAAGCAATGAGAGAGACATTGCCGACCTGGATCTAGAGGTTTACAAGTTGATTTCTTTTTTTTTTTTGAGAGAAGGAAAGAAAAAAAAAATAAGTAAAGGAGAGGAAGAAAGAGGAAGAGAAAGAGGGAGAGTAAATGGAAATACTGCTTTATTTTGAAAAAAATTGAGTATTAATAATGGCCAATCAATGTTTCATTTAAACTTATGGGTAGGTGTGATGTGGTATTGACAAGAATGTATATTTTGTGTATTTGAAGTGGAGAGCTCTATGAATATTTATTAAGTTTACTTGTTCCTGATCTGAGTTAGAGTCCTTGATATCCTTATTAATTTTCTGTCTCATTGAATCTAAGTCTTGTATCTGGGTGTTAGGATCGTTAGCTCTTGTTGTTGCATTGATCCTTTTACCACTATATCTTTGTTGCTTTAAAATCTATTTTCTCCGATACGAGAATTGCAACTCCTGCTTTTTATTTATTTATTATTTATTTTTGCTCTCCATTTGGTTGGTAAATCTTTCTCCATCCCTTTGTTTTGAGTCTTTGTGTATCCTTGCATGTGAAACAGGTCTGGATGTAAAATGCCATTGGGTTTTGGCTGTGTCTTTTGATTGGGGGATTTAGTCAATTTAAATTTAGGGTTGCTGCCATTTGATGTTGACTGGCTGTTTTATCCATTCGTTGGTGTAAATTCTTCTTTATGTTGGTGCTCTTTACTTTTTGGTGTATTTTTAGAAAGGCTAATACTGGTTGTTTCTTTCTGTGTGTAATGCTTCTTTCAGAAGCTCTTGTAAAGCAGGCCTGGTGGTAATAAAATCTCTGAGTTCTTGCTTGTTCATAAAAGATTTTATTTTTCCTTCAGTTGTGAAGCTTAGTTTGGCTGGATATGAAATTCTGGGCTGAAGGTTCTGTTCTTTGAGGATGTTGAATATTGGCCCCCACTCTCTTCTGGCCTGTAGAGTTTCTGCTGAGAGATCTGCTGTAAGTCTGATAAGCTTGCCTTTGTGGGTAACATGACCTTTCTCTTTGGCTGCCCTTAGTATTTTCTCCTTCGTTTCAACCCTGGTGAATCTAACCATTATGTGTCTTGGGGTTGCTCTTCTTGAGGAATATCTTTGTGGTGTTCTCTGTATTACCTGGGGTTGAATGTTGACCTGCTTTGCTAGTTTAGGAAAATTTTCCTGAATAATATCCTGAAGGGTATTTTCCAGCTTGGATTCATTCTCTCCATCGCATTCAGGTACACCTATCAAAGGTAAATTTGGTCTTTTCACATAGTCCCACATTTCTTGGAGACTTTGCTCATTCCTTTTTATCCTTTTTTCTCTGATCTTTTCTTCATGTTTTATTTCATTAAGTTGGACTTTGACCTCTGATATCCCTTCTTCTGCTTGAACAATTCGAGTGTTTAAACCTGTGCATACTTCTCGGAGTTCCTGTATTGTATTCTTTAGTTCCATTAATTCACTCATACTCCGCTCTAAGTTGTCTATTCTCAACGGGATTTCATCAAACCTTTTTTCAAAGTTCCTAGTTTCTTTACGTTGGGCTACAACATGTTCTTTTAACTCACCGAAGTTTGTTATTATCTATTCCTTGAAGAGTGATTCTGTCATCAGGAGGCGCTCCTTCTCCATCAAGCCTTGTTCCATTGTTGATGTGGAACTGTGATCATCTTTAGAGGGAGAGGCGTTCTGACTTTGAGTATTCTCAGCTTTTTTATGCTGGTTTCTTCCCGTCATTGTAAATTTATCCTCTGTCATCTTTGAAATTACCAACTTTCAGATTAGGTCTCTTGAGTGGACGTCCAGGTTGTTAGTTCCCAGGGCCAGAGCAGCGGCGTTAAAACTGATGGTGCTTTTCTGCCCAGGATTCTCCTGTCGGGCTTCCTTCTTTTGTCGGTAGTAGGCGACTCTGCCTTCCCGGGGCTCCAAACCTCGGTCAGAAGGGGAACCGGTCCTGTTTACTCTGCGCCGAGCGCTCCCGCGCCTAGGTGCCGTCACAGCCACTGCTGGGCTCTGGTGTCCTGCTGGGGACCCGGGCCGGTTGTCCGAACCTGTTTACTTTGCTCCGAGAGCTGCCGCGCCAAGGTGCCGGCGGAACCGCTGCACCGGCCACGAGAGTCGCGCTGGCCACCTGTGTGTTTCCTCCACTGGGGGATCTCCTGCTCCATGAGCGACCAGAATTTGTCTGAAAGTGTGGCGTCCTCTAGTTCTCCGCGCCTTCCCTGAGAGCTGCAATCCCGGGATGTTAGCGATAGGCCATCTTGGATCGTTTCCCCCAAATAAACATTTTTTAACATTCCCCATTTTTATATTCAGAAATTCATGTTAACTTTGATTGGGTTGAATCATATAGCTTTAAAAAATGGTCTTACTTCTTTCATGTTTGCCTCAGATTATATCATCTTTGGCCAAAAGCTGTAAATTGACATCCTTTTCTTTCTTTTTTTTTGAGACGGAGTTTCACGCTTGTTACCCAGGTTGGAGTGCAATGGCACGATCTCGGCTCACGGCAACCTCCGCCTCCTGGGTTCGGGCAATTCTCCTGCCTCAGCCTCCTGAGTAGCTGGGATTACAGGCATGAGCCACCATGCCTAGCTAATTTTTTGTATATTTTTTAGTAGAGACAGCGTTTCACCATGTTGACCAGGATGGTCTCGATCTCTTGACCTTGTGAGCCACCTGCCTTGGCCTCCCAAAGTGCTGGGACGGCCAATTGACATCCTTTTCTTAAGGATGTGTGTGACTGATTTCCTAATTAGAATTTCCTAATTTTACTAATTAAATTTACCTAAAATTATTGTTGTTTTGCATAATAAAAAAGTCCATATAAATTTCATAAATTGTATCTTGCTCTTCTGCATAGTTCAGTACTGCATCATTTAATTTATTGTTTTTATTCTGTGTTTTATTAGAAGGTGTATAGAATATAGACATTATGGCAGGGGATGCCAAGTGTTTTGCGATTCTAGATGTCATTCTTCAAAAACAAATTATTGTTTCAGAAACTGTTTTGGCTGGGCCTACTTCACCTTTACCTTCCCCAGGAAATGGGAGTGAAACTACTCCTGGATCAGTTACACAGACCAAGAAAATTAAAGGAATTGGATTTGGAGACATTTTTAAAGAAGGCTCTGTGAAACTTCGGACAAGAACATCGAGTAGTGAAACAGAAGAGAAAAAAACAGAAAAGGTGATAATGATGAACTTACATTAGATTGATTCCACTCATTCTCTCATTAAGCATTTTTTAAAATGTATAAGTCAGTTTATAACTCTGTTAGATTTCTTTTTTTCAGATCACTAATAATTTGGTTATGAATGAGGAGGCTGCGAGAAATTTTGTTTTCAAATTTACAATGATATTCACGTGTGAATCTAATAAAATTAGAATGCTTATTTCTTGGTAAATTTAACACACTTAGTAGAAGCTTTAGGGTTTTTAGTTATCACAGTGTAAATAAAGATTAGAGAGTTTTATTTTTGCCTTTCAAAGACAAATTTATATATAAATTTAGTTAATATATATAATTAATATAATAAAATAAATATATATTTAATTTGAAATATACCTAAAATGAGCTGTTTTAAAATGAATTTACAAAAATATTAAGTTACTTAATATTTTGCCACTACTTAACTTTCCTCTGGATTGTCAACACTTGTTAAATTTACTAATCTTCTTTGAATGTGTGGAGAATTTTATTTCATTAGTATTTTGCTGTCATTGTGAAATGAAGCAAAGTAAATGAACCATACATTATAAGAACTTAAAAGCGGCTTTAAAATAAAATCTTAAACTGTTACTTTGGTGGTAAAATAGCTACAATTTGTAGAACTTTTTTTTTTACAGTTCCTTCTGTTAATCCTATCTCTTAACTCTGAAGAATATAAAATACTTCAGTATTATTTGATTCATGTAGCTATGTCTCATTTATAATACTGTGTTTTAGTTATTGAGATATTATAAAATTTTCTCAGATGGATTCAACTTTTTTTTTTCCTATCCCAACTTGCTACGTATTTTCTCATGTAATAGTGCAGAGTTGGGTTCAGAAAAGAGAACTTCCACTTTCTATCCTATACATTCCTATCTCTGAGACTATCTGGCATTAGGATTATGGGGTCAAATTGATTCTTGATTTTAAAGGTAAAGACTGGAGTTCTCATGGATTTTGGGATGGTACTCTATAGCCATATAATAGCTAAGCATGTTGGACAAGCAATTCTTGTGTTGTGATAGAAATTAGATGATCTTGTGCCCCTTCAAACTCTAAAGTTTCTGATTATATTGAATAACTTTATCTGATTAATGTTTATATTAATCATCTTATAATCATCCTTGATAATGTCTACTACTCAGGAGTTGCTATTAGTGAGAGTCATCTCAGGGTTACTCTGTATAATGGTCTGATCAGTGCTTTAATCACTGATCCAGGAATTGATAAAGTAGGGATCACATTTACTGTGTTTATAGGTACACCAGATTGGAAAATATGGTGGTTAGAGTTAGGGGAAACTAAAGTAAGTAGCTTAGAAGATAAACGAAAACACAGTGGTAGGTAGGTCAGTTAGCAGTGTGTTCAGACTTTTAAGTAATGACATCTGAGGTTAAATGTGCTGTTGTTTCTGGGTGGAGAACTTAAGGAAACACTAGTATGAAGTGGTAAAGGACTTTCTTTAGTAAATTACAACGGAAAAATGTCTAGTAGACTGTAGTTATAAAGAACATAAGATTACCTGAATCATTTACATTCAAATAGCAATGAAGTATAAAGAATTATTTTTCTCCTCTCTTAGTTTAAGGTTTATATCTGGGTTCAAATCTGGGCTCTGCTGCTAAATTCCTGTTACTATGGACAGATTACTTATATAAATGTATATTATTGTATAAATAGTGCCCACTTTATGCAGATAGTTATCAGGCTATTAGTCCTGCTTTCACTATTATATAAGTGTTTAGCCCAGGGATTTAAGTTCTCAAGTGCTGTTGTTCTTATTTAATTTGATTTATTGTATTTTTTAGAGATAGGGTCTCACCATATCATCCAGGCTGGAATGCAGTGGACAATCATAGCTCACTTTAACCTTGAACTCTGGTTTCAAGCAGTTCTCCTGCCTTGGCCTCCCTAAGTGTTGGGATTCAGGCATGAACCACCAGTACCTAGCCTCTTACTTATTTTAGAGATTCTAAAATTAAATCTCATTAATATACTATGGGCATCAGAGAATATTATCTTTAAGATAAGGAATCTTTAAATTTGTTCCTCTGAGCTATAATTTAGGAACTTTGGAGATCTTTACCTTTTTTATTGCTGCGTCTTCAGTCACTTTACTAACTTAGCTATAAGTACCATTAAGGAAAGTTGGGTAACTGTAAATGGAAACTTTGTTTAACAATATTTTCTTTATTCTATCTTGAAATAATTTATGCCTTTTTTTTTCTATTCTAGCCCTTAATCATACAGTCACTGGGACCCAAAACTCAGAGTGTGGAGATAACCAAAACAGACACGGATGGTAAAATTAAAGGTATGTTTTTGAATAAAGCTTTCATATTGAGAATAGTAGAAACATACTCAAATGTATTATGAGACTTGTTGAAAGCATTTGTTATACTGCTTTATTAGAATAGCAAATTCTATTAGATGTAAGCACCATGAGGTCAAGGATTTTGATATTTGTTGGTTGAGTGATGTATCTCCTGGTAGTTGAATCTGTGCCTGGAGCATCACAAGCACTTAGTAAATATTTGAATGAATGATTAATGAAATTGTTAATACATATGGTATTGACTATAAGTATTTTAAAGTTTAAAGATAGATTATTAAGTTCATCTTTGATAACTTTTAGTATACTTTCTGTAAAATAGAGTCTTAATATTTGTTGAATGAATTCATTTGTGTGAGCCACATTATTTACATTCTTTATTTCAGCCAAAGAATATTGTAGAACATTATTTGCTTATGAAAGTACTAATGAAGATGAACTTACTTTTAAAGAGGGGGAGATAATCCATTTGATAAGTAAGGTAAGGTATTTCTGTTTTTCAGTGAATTGTTTAATTTATTTGTAGAAATATTTTTCAAAAGTTATATATTCACCCTAGAATGTTCTTATATTCACCCTGGAATCTAGAAGAGCTGGGACTTTGTCTTGTTTCTAAGTCCTGAAAACTTGGCACATAGTAAGTGCTCAGAATGTTCTTTTTGAGATAAATTTTATTGTCTATATTTGTTAAAATTTATATATTGGGAATTTTTGTTAACCATCATATTTGCTTTTGTTTGTTTAAGTAATTTCTTTTTTTAATTAATCTCAACTTTCCAGATTTCTATTCTTAATTCTCTTCCACCTCATTCTAGTTTTTCTCCTCTATATTGTTTGGAGTGTTTGTTTGTAATATAAACAGGAGAAGAAAAATAGGGTAACAAGCTAAATGTCCATCAGTATGGAAATTGTTCTGAAATTCTTCTGAAATTCTTCATGCTATGGAAAATGATTTTGCCATTTTAAAGAATGAAGTTATTTTATAACTTGGAATAAATCCTAATGTAAAATAAAGAGAAAACCCACTAGTACTTGTGTGTGGGCAGAATCCTATAATAACTATATTTAGGAAAATTACAAATATTTGGTTTTTGCTATAACAATGTAGAATAATTTTTGAAATTCCTCCCCTCACTTATTTTTTTTTTAAGTAGAGGCAGAGTCTTGCTGTGTTGTCCAGGTAGTCTCTAACTGTTGGGCTCAAGCAATCATCTTGCTTTGGCCTCCCAAAGTGCTGAGATTACAAGTGTGAGCTACCACACTGGGCCCTATTGTTTTACATTGACTTTGTTATTAGATGACATAGTGTATGTAATTTTTTTAAAAAATAAGTTTTATTGTGTATACTTAAAGTAGAATGATGTTATAGGATACATATAAGTAGTACAAATGTTACTATAGTGAACCAAATTGACATATCTATGGTCTCACATAGTTACCTTTATTGTTTTAGTGGCAACAGCAGGTAAAATCATTTAGCAAGAATTTTACAGATGTAAGTAATTTTTAATATTAAAATAGTTTGCACTGATTACACCTAATTTTTCATGCAAGGGTGATGAGTATTTAGAAGAATCTTAGAAGGTCTTGTTAATTCAAAAAAATATATGTTTTAAAGACAAGGTCTTGCTTAGTTGTCCAGGCTAACATGCAGTGGTGTGATCATAGCTCACTGCAGCCTTGAGCTCTTGGGCACAAGTGATCCTTCTGCCTCAGCCTCCCAAGTAGCTGGGACTACAGTTGCATCCCATTGTGCCTAATTAATTAGGTTTTCAAATTTTTTTGTAGAGGCAGGGTCTTGCTATGTTGCCCAGCCTGGTCTTACAAACTCCTGGCATCAAGCAATCTTCCCATATCAGCCTCTCAAGTTGCTGGGATGACAAAGCATGAACCACTGTGCCTGGTCAAATCTCGTTACTTTTTAAAGCAGCTGAATAATGTGCTTACTTTTTAGTATATAAATTGTTAAGAATGTTAAGAAAGATACAGTTTGGAAATTCAGATTCTCTCTCTCTCCATCTTTCTCTCCTTTCTACTTCCTTTCATCTTAACTTTTTTTTTTTTTTTTTTTTTGAGATGGAGTCTTGCTCTGTCACCGAGGCTAGAGTGTGGTGGCACAATCTCTGCTCACTGCAACCTCTGTCTTCTGGGGTCAAGCGATTTTCCTTTCTCAGCCTCCTGAGTAGCTGAGACTACCGGCGCCTGCCACCACACCAGCTAATTTTTGTATTTTTAGTGGAGGTGGCATTTCACCTTGTTGATCAGGCTGGTCTCAACCTCCTGACCTCAGGTGATGTACCCACCTTGGCCTCACAACATGCTAGGATTGTAGGTGTGAGCCAATGCACCCAGCCTTATTTTATCTTTTTCCTGTATCCCCTGAGAACCTTTTAACCTTATAGATGGAATTTTAAAATTGATATGTTTTAAAAAATTAAACCCAATTTTGTAACTACTGCTAAAAGTAATATGTGGGGAATATTTTCTTTTAGTACAATGTGATCTGTTTAGTTCCATCTGGGCACAGTGGGTCATTCTTGTAGTTTCAACACTTTGGGAGACCAAATCAAGAGGAACATTTGATCCCAGAAGTTTATGGTTGCACACTTGTGGTCCCAGCCACTTGGGAGGCTGAGATGGGAGGATCACTTGAGCCCAGGAGGTTGAGGCTGCAGTTAGCCATGATTACATCACTGCACTCCAGCCTGACCTTATCTTAAAAACTTCCATTGTCTTATTCTGTTTTGCTTTTTAGGAGACTGGAGAAGCTGGCTGGTGGAAGGGTGAACTTAATGGTAAAGAAGGAGTATTTCCAGACAATTTTGCTGTTCAGATAAGTGAACTGGACAAAGACTTTCCAGTAAGCTTTTGTTTTTCAATGATGATAATACTTGAAAGAACATTTTGCCACTATTCTTTTGTAAACAAATTTTTTTCATTGTTACTAAGTAAATTTTATGAAGGAGTTTCAAATGTAGCTATTCAGGTAGGCATTATTTGAGTTATAGTAAAACAAAATAATGTTTCAGTTCTGTACTTTATTCTTCCTTTTTTTCTTTCTTGACCATACTGAAAACTAACCTGCCGGTGGCTCAAGCCTGTAATCCCAGCACTTTGGGAGGCTGAGGCGGGTGGATCACGAGGTCAAGAGATTGAGACCATCCTGGTCAACATGGTGAAACCCCGTCTCTACTAAAAATGCAAAAAATTAGCTGGGCATGGTGGCGCGTGCCTGTAATCCCAGCTACTCAGGAGGCTGAGGCAGGAGAATTGCCTGAACCCAGGAGGCGGAGGTTGCCGTGAGCTGGGATCGCGCCATTGCACTCCAGCCTGGGTAACAAGAGTGAAACTCCATCTCAAAAAAAAAAAATAAAAAACCTAACCTTAGACTTCTTTATTTTATAATTTAAGAAGGGCTGTCTATCCTAGTAACATAAATTAGTACTTTCCTGGGAGAAATTGTATTTTTATTTAATGTTGTTGAAAAGCTTTAGTTTATTTTAAGTTCTTGTGGATATTGTTAATATTCTGTTGGTGCATTTTTTTGGGAGGGCAAGAAGCAGTCTTTGCCTCCTTATAGAATTTGTTATTTTTGTGTCACTTCTCAGAAAACGTGAGGCTGAGTCATTCATCAGTGGTGTTTCGCCTTTCTACAATTTGGTCTCCTTTCTCCATGGATCAGGAATATAATGGAGTTTTTAAAATAGAGGGAAAGAGCATTAGCGTAAGCACACAGAGGGATGGGCTACCATGTTAGGTTTAAGCTAATGCAGAACTCTCTAACTCAGTGGAAACTTAGGCTGCCTGAGGTCTTTCTTTTGCTAGATTGCATTCAGTATTGATTCAGCCTTCATATGATTTATTTTTGTACTTTTATTAATGAATACATTTTTATGCTTTTATTATGTTTGTACATTATGGCTTATCAGTTATTCTTAATTTGTAAAAACCAAGTTTACAAACTTAGAAATTTGTCTCAATTTTTTTAAGGTATTAAGTCTTGAAAATGAGTGAATGTTTATAAATTGAGGAAAAACAGTTCTTTGCCTTTAACCGTTTCTTTGAGAGTTCCGAAGAGTTAATCATGAAAACTAGGTCTATTTGTTGCTACTCGGCTTTCTTTTTTAAAAGACAACAACAACAACAAGGTCTCTTCCTTGTTCTGACAGTCTTCCACTCCCCACAACCCCAGCTGCAAAAGAGGGGTAAAATGGTACTTAGGACTCTTAACCTAGGGGAGGCAGAGCAGAACATTTTTGCTTATTAAGATTTTTAAGGTTAATTCAATCCAGTGATATATGGATTGAAATATTTGACTGAATTTTGATCAGTGAGACTATTTCTTCTAATGAAATAATTTGTTGTCATTGACCTTTTGGGTAGTTGTTAGGATCTTCTTAGCATTTTATAATTTTTGGCAAGGATGGAATGAAGAGGAGGGACATTTGTATAATTTAGATTATTACTATTTGGTGTTTAACTATATTTGATATGAAACTGGTCAGCCATTTCCACCATTATTATTTTAACAGAAACCTAAGAAACCACCACCTCCTGCTAAGGGTCCAGGTATGTAAGAAACATATTTTTCAGTTTGCTATTTTCAATATTTTACAATTCTAAAATGGCCATATTGGATCTAATGCAGATTATTAACTTTTATCAAGTATGTTGTAGTCTGTAAAAATTTTTAGAAATGTATGAAAATTGAGTATTCCTATGCATTAGTATCTGTCAATATTTTTATAAGTACAAATGGTATAAAATAGGGATCTTGAAAATAATGTAGATACTTTATATGTAATTTTGAGTTAATAACATTGATCAAATTTACACTGTTTTAGAAAACTTAATATATTGACCTGGCCAGTTAGTTATTCTACCTCTTCAAATGAAATCCATTTGTTAATGTCTCAAATAATAATAATTTACATATTCTTTCAGAGAGTATGCTGAAGGTTAAACAAAATAGATGATTTTAAATAGATGAATAAATTATGGTATATCTAGAAGTGTCTTCAAGAGTTCAAGTTTTGTAATCTGGCTCTTTGCTTTCATAAATTCTATTTTTGAATACTCGCTTTTTATAGGTATAATAAAAATATCTATTTCCTAAAAGATTTGCTGTTTTTTTTTTTTTTTTTTTAGGATAATCCAACCTTTTTCTCCCTTGGTTTTAGCCTGTATTTGCTGACCTAATCCTGGAGCAAAGAAAGCATAAGTTAAAAGTAATTTTTATAGAAGTTGGTGTTGAAGCCTTATTATATAGCTTTACTCTTCAATGTGATAGCCACTAACCATGTGGGGCTTTTAAATTAATTAAATAAAATTTAAAAATTCTGTTTCTCAGTCTTAAGAGTGCCATTTCAAGTGCTCAGTAGTCAAATGTTGGATACTGAAAATATAGCATGTTTTCATCACCACGGACTGCAGTATGGTAGAGGATATGATCTCTAACACCTAAAGCTGACAAAGAAGGAACTGAGACCACAGAGTAGGGTAGTAGTGCCAACTCTAGGATTAGAAATTAAGCCTGATGATTCTGGTACATTGTTCATTCTATTAAACCATGGTTTCATCTGATGTTATTTTTCAATGCATCTTTATTTTTTAGAAGCATAATTGTCTCTGTGCTTTAAAACTATCTTCTTTAAAAAGTATTAATTATTTTTCCCCATAGCTCCAAAGCCTGAACTGATAGCTACAGAGAAGAAGTATTTTCCTTTAAAGCCTGAAGAAAAGGGTGAGGCTAATTTTCAACTTTCAGAAAAAAAAATTCCTTCTTCTATTGTCATTTTAACTGTTTCTCCACACTGAGTTATTTACACTGATATTTAGCAGGTATTCAGTGTTTATTTTACAATGTTTGAAGTTTTCTGGGAGGGAGTAGTTCATTTAAGATTAACATAAAATTATGCTTTCTCAAACTGATAACAATTTACATTCATTAAAAAAATTAAACTTACTTCAGCAGGATGTTGTCTTTATTCATAGTTATTTCACAGACTGTATACAACAGCTAAGCATTAAAAAAAACTATGCTTTTTTTATTTTTATAGTGTTTCTTTAGAAAATTCCTTAGAAGGTTGAAGACCCAGTTCCTACTTAAGCATGGAAATAATTAATTACATATTATTTAATCTCACTGCATGCATTTGTCATAATGTAAACCTGGAAAGTTATTCCAAGGTACCCGTGTTTTGCTAAAAACCTTACTTATATTGGTTTGTTGTGAATTTGGAGAAAATAAGTCCTTCTCATTGTACATAAAGATATACAATGGTTGTCACTAGTAGATTAGTTTATATACATCAAGAAACTTCAATACTATTTTAGAATGATTTTGTTTCTTCTGCTAGTGTTGTAGTCTAACCCATCCTTGTTTCTTACATAAAGTACTGTATCCTCTTAATTGATTTCTCTCACTTTAGCTCCTTGTCTGGCTCATGCTTCATGTGTTGCCAGGATTATTTTTTTAAAGAGACTATTTTTTAGAGCAGTTTTAGGTTGACAGCAAAACTGAGCCAAAAGTACAGAGTTCCTGTATAGTTCCTTTTATCACACAGGCACAGTTTTTCCCACTGTTAACATTCTGTACCACAGTGGTATGTTTATTAGGATTAGTGAGCCTGCCTACCATGACACTTCTTTATCACTCAGAGTCCATAGTTTACCTTAGTGTTCACTCCTAGTGTACTTATTAAGGGTTTTGACAAATTTATGATGTCACGTATCCACCATTATAATATCATACAGAATAGCATTACTGCCCTAAAAAACCTTCTTTGCTCGGAAGGGAAGGACTGTTTATCTGTCCTTCCCTTCCGCCCTTGGCAATCATTAATTTTTTTTTTTTTTTTTGAGATGGAGTTTTCGCTCTTGTTACCCAGGCTGGAGTGCAATGGCGTGATCTCTGCTCACTGCAACCTCCGCCTCCTGGGTTCAGACAATTCTCCTGCCTCAGCCTCCTGAGTAGCTGGGATTACAGGCACATGCCACCATGCCCAGCCGGTAATCATTAATTTTTTAAATGACTCTATAGTTTTGTATTTTTAATATTTGTATATATAAAATTTTTTGTATTTTTAGTAGAGACAGGGTTTCTACCAAGGATGATCTTGATCTCTTGACCTCGTGATCCACCCGCCTCAGCCTCCCAAAGTGCTGGGATTACAGGCGTGCGCCACCGGGCCCGGCCGGCAATCATTAATTTTTTAAATGACTCTATAGTTTTGCCTTTTCCAGAGTGTCATATAGTTGGACTCACAGAGCTTGTAGCCTCTTCAAATTAGCTTCTTTCACTTAATTATATCCTTTAAAATTTCTTCGTATGATTTCATGGCTTGGGAGGCATTTGTTGTTAGCACTAAATAATATTTCATTGTCTTTATATTCCACAATTTATTAATCCACTCATTTACTGAAGGACATCTTGATTGCTTCTAAGTTTTGGCAATTATAAGGGGAACTGCTATAAATGTGTGTAGGTTTTTGGGTGGACATATTTTCAGTTCATTTGGGTAAATTCCAAGGAGAAGGATTACCTGATAATATGACAAGAGTATATTGAGTTTTGTAAGCAACTGCCAGACTTTTTTCACTGTGGTTGTACCATTTTGTACTCCCACCAGTAATCAATTAGAATTTCTGTTCTACATTCTAGCCAGCATTTGGTGTTTTCAGTGTTTTGGATTTTGGCCTTTCTAATAGGTGTCTAGTAGTATTTTACTTTTGTTTTCAATTGCAATTCCATAATGACATATGGTGTTGAATATCTTCGCATGTACTTAATTGTTATTTGGATATCTTTGATAAAGTGTTCTAGTCTTTTGTGCATTTTTAATAAAGTTTTTCTTTTCCTTCAGTTTCTTTTTTTTGTATATTTTGGAGAGCAGTTTTTTATTAGATGTTTTATGCAAATATTTTCTCCCAGTCTGTGGCTTGTTTTCTTCACAGAGCATTGGTTTTAAATTTTATTGAAGCTTATCAGTTATTTCTTTTATGGATCATGGCTTTGGTGTTGTATCTAAAAAGTCATTGCCATACCCAAGGCCATTGGGATTTTCTCCTGTGTAATCTTCAAGGAATTTTATAGTTTTATGTTTTACATTTAGGTTTGTGATTCATTGTGAATTAATTTTTGTGAAGGTTGTACGGTCATTGTGTAGATTCTTTTTTACTTTTGGCATATGAATGCTAGTTGATCCAACACCATTTGTTGAAAAGACTTTCAGTTTTCAGATAAAAATCAAAAGTTCAAATTCAAGGCCCTCCAGTAACTGACCCCCACATTACATTTTTGATACCGTCTTTCATGTGGGTAATCCTCCATATAGGCACTGAGGAAGGAGAGCTAAGCAGAATTGTGGCACAATTAAGATCTCAAGAATATCTCAGTTTATAGTATTGCTACTCAGTTATTTCCTTCTATATAATTTTTTATATAATCATATATTAGTTTATAGAACTAGGGCCTGAAGATTATCTCAGTTAATAGTGTTACTACTCAGTTATTTCCCGTAATATAATCCTCTGCATATAATCATATATTCGTTCATAGAATGAGTGCCTAAAGAATATCTTCCCTGTATATATATAACTGTATCTTAGTTCATAATCGGAGGAATGCCTGGAGTAGACATGGTACAGAGCATGAGTTAAGGAATAAGCAGCTTATAGTCGGAGGAATGTCTGGAGCAGATGCAGTATAGAGCATGATTTAAGGGAAAACAGTTACACCAGGACAAGAATCCATGGCCCACGCCGCAGCGTTCAGTGTCATAAAAATACCCGCTGTATGGCAGGCTTGGGGCAACAGCCACTCCTCCTGATAAAGGAGTTGTAGGACCTTGCTCCAGTTCTTGTGGAGGGCTGCCCTCAGACCAGCAATCCCTCAAGCATCTGAGGGCTCAAAAACCCCTTTGGATAATTGCACCTTGGTGACTGTTAACTTTATCAGCTCTTGTTACTGTGCTGCTCAAAAAAGCATCTTGATGTAGAACTCATTGGAAGCTGCCAGCAGGTGCTGGTAACCCTGGCAGCTCTGTCACTGCTATGTGACTTATAGCATCCTCCTATAAATCTTCTTAGAAGTAGCTTGCCCATAGATAGAGGTATTGCATACTGCACCCTCTTCACTGTACACGGCCCATATCCATGCCTCATTGACCTAATGTGGGTGGATCCCTTACTGCACACGGCCCACTTCCTTGCCTCGATGACCTAATGGGAATGGACCCCTTGCTGTGCACTGTCCACCTAGCCTAGGTGACCTAATGGGGATGGACCCCTGGTTTTATTGCTGACGACCCTATCACTATCCTTAAAGATGACTTCACTCACTTTCCTGCTCCCTAACCTATACACAATAAATACTGATGCCTCTGGACATTTGGAGCCTTTCCTGACTCTGCTTATATAGGTGGCATGGCCCCCCTGAGCCCAGCTGCGTTTTCCTTGTACTTCTGTGTCCTGTCTCTTTATTTCTTGGATCCTGCGCCTCAGCACAGCATAAGGGACAGCCCATGACCCTATGGGGCCCTCAGCCCTACACTTCCACTCTTTTCATTTATTAAACGTAGCATTCATTCTCTAGTCCCTGAATATGTTATGTACTTTCCTAGCTTTATCTCTATCTTGTGTACTTTGCTCAAAATGGAAGTTTTTCTTATTTTTTAAAAATATTAGTCTCAGATTAATCCTTTGTGAACTAGTTAGGTAGGAGTCTTAGATCAGTTTTTAGTACTTGTTTATAATATCTGTCCTACCTGAAAAACACATCCTACCAATATATGTACATGTAAGAGGTATATTGCTGGCTTTATTATCTATTTTTTTACTATTAAAAAAAGCAATGCCACCAATTAAGCAGCAGTTTTGTTAAACTTCAGGTAATGACTTCCCCTATTCTCTAAAATCAGTTATCTTATAAATAAAACGGAAGATGATGTATTTTTATTACATTTATCTGTGCAAAGTCCTGGCCATGATGGAATAACAGGGACTGAATTTATACTCCTGAGTTAAACAACTAGAAAATTAGACAAAATATATGTAACAGTGGCTTTCACATACTAAACATCAGGCAGTGTAAGTCACTGTGACACTGAAGAGAGACCTGTAATTACCACATCTTACTGCCTAGAAGAAGTTTTTAGGCAGCAGAAAAGAGGAAGCCAAACAGACCTCAATGTTCTGCAGAATTGAGGACATAGAGATAGGTATTTAGGAAGGGCTGGGCAGCTGCAAGAGTGGCGGGAACTGCACAGAGAGTATTCAGATCTGTAGACAGCTTACTGTGAGGCTTTGCCTGATACTGATCTACACATGCATGAAAAGAAACTTCGATAATGGAGAAATAACCATTGGGAAGTAACAGGTGAAGCACTCTTTGTACATTTTTCCATGAGCCAGAGTAAGAAGACCTCATAATATTTAGCACATTGGATAGAGTCCATAAAAGGATGTGTCACCTTAGACTAAAGGCTTCTCTGCCTCTATCTTGACAATAGGGCCAACAAATAACAGAACAAAATTGAACCTAAAAGAATATAATAAAATTTTGTATTCAAGAGTATAAAATTTACGACATCCATTATCTAATTAAACATTGCCAGGCATAGAAAGAGCAAGAAAATAGCAATCCATAACCAGGGAAGAAACCAGTCAGCAGAAAAGAGCAAGAATGACAGAGATGGTGGAGATAGAAGGGAAGTACATTAAAATAGCTATCATAAACATATC